GCTGTAGCTTGTAAATCATGTCTACTTCTCTCCGGACGGTCTGTGGATCGCGAGTGCTTCCTTTGACAAGTCGGTTAAATTATGGAACGGGGTCACTGGAAAATTTGTGGCTGCCTTCTGTGGTCATGTGGGCCCCGTCTATCAAATAAGGTTACATTTATTTCGAGTGTTTTACTCGTTCATTATCTGTACTAAGGCTGCGCATCTGAATCGGCACATTTTGCGGCAGTTGGTCGGCTGACAGTAGGCTGCTCTTGAGTGGAAGCAAAGATTCGACCTTGAAGGTATGTTTTTTTCATTAGACGTTTAAAATGCCGTCTCGACAAATTTACCTCAAAAACTGTTACTCAAGTGGCGTTTTTTTAAACAGGTGTGGGATATTCGGACTCAGAAGTTGAAGCAAGATCTTCCGGGGCATGCAGATGAAGTAAGGCCTCCAACAATACCCAACCCCAATGAGAGAACTGGACTTGTTTCGGTTTTCGAGAGCAAATTCGATACTGTCCACAGGGGCAGAATCGAAATTTATGGTTCGTTTATTCCCATTCTTTTCCACATATCTCATCGCAATTTGCTTTGTGTCTTTAGGTATTTGCAGTTGATTGGAGTCCGGATGGTGAGAAAGTAGCATCTGGAGGCAAGGATAAAGGTTTGAAGTTATGGATGGGATAAGGAAATCTTAGGCACTTGAATGGCATTGCGCTCAGCTTACTTTTACAAATGTACATAGAGGTGTACATATCATTCACATGGAGTGAGATTCATATGATTTTTATTTTTTGTAGGTCCCACTCAATGTGAGTGTTATGTACAATATTATGTATCTATAACATTTCTCTTTATTTATTTAGTGTGTGTTTGGATACACTTTTAAAATGGGCTTCTAGACTTAAAAGTCCATCTGAATGATTTTAGGGTGTTTGGTGATTTATATTGAATGCGCTTTTGAGAAAAGTCATTTCCCAATAAGTCCATTTTAGAGAAGTGGGAATTAGCTACTTCTGAAACCTATTTCACAATTATTCCCGCATTTTTTTTTATCGCCTTCCCTCCATATTTTCTCATTTTCTTATTCCAGCTATAATTGTGTTTCATCTATCTTCTTCAAGCAAATATTCCCTGAACGTGTACAGATCTAAAGGTATGTAATAGCTTGATTCACAAATGCATATGTTGGTTAATCTATACTCAATTTTTTTAATCAAATAATGTTGGGCAAAGGAGAAAAGAGGTGTCTGCATTTATTTTATTTGAGAATTCCTTGCAACTAGTCAAGAATTTAAATCCAATTTTGCTCAATTTGTGGATAATCAAGTGTACTGTGTGGGTCTCACGAAGAAGCAAAAAAAGAACAGGATTTTAATAAAAGCTTGTTTATAAATACGTGAACAAATCTAAAGTTAGACTCAATTTTTTAATTAAATAATGTTGGGCACTTTTGATTGGTAATTTTATTACCAAAATTTATAACTTTGATCAGGTAGGTTGTGTTTATATATTTTGGGTTTTGTTCATGTTCTGTATTGTAAGTGTGTGGGACTGTTGTTTGTAGATAGTTCTGGTTTTCTTTTTCTGTTTTCACTATTGTTTTCTGCATGTATTTGTTTGTATGTATCTATTACATCTGTTAATTATTTACTCAATTTTGAGTTGCATAAGATAATGCTCTTATATGACATATTATTTGATTTTTTTTTTATGTTTGTTATGAAGATATGGAACTTGATCCAAATGCAAATTTGTTTAAGAAAATTGTGAAACCCAAGGCTGTTTGGAATGGTGATGCTCACAAAGTGTTTGTTGAATTATGTTGTGAGCAAATGTCCAAAGGGAGTAAAGTAGGAACCTTTTTCTCTAGAGAAGGTTGGAACAAAATTTGTAGTGAGTTTGTTCAGAAAACTGGTCTGAACTATGACAAGAAACAATTAAAAAACCATTGGGACAATACCAAGCAAGATTGGAAAGTTTGGTATAAGTTAGTTAATTCAGATACTGGGCTTGGTTGGGATACTTTGAGAAACACGGTAACTGCATCTGACGAATGGTGGGACGAATATTTGAAGGTATGCTATTTATTCTTATACATTAATCAAACTACAAAATTTAGACAAATTTATCGCATTATAAACTAACGACTTCTTTTATTATTATTATTATATATTTTAGGTTAACGCAGATGCTTTTAAGTTTCGCTACAAAGGACTTGATAACTCTGATGAACTGACTTCCTTATTCAAAGAAGGATATGCAACTGGAAAAAATGCTTGGGCACCTTCAGAAGGATCTCTACCAAATGACTCTATTGGATCGTGTCAAACTCAAGCAAGTCAATCTCCAGAAAATAAAGCATACGTAGATCTTGAGGTGCAAGGTGAAGAACCAAATAATGTAACCAAGTCGAATGAGATGAAAAATAACATTGGAAATGCTACAGGTGCTAGCCGCCGTAAGCGAGTCAGAGATGAGTTTCCCCCATCTAGAACTTCTCGTAAAGCCTCGTCCGCTGCGAATATGGATCAATATCTTGGTCGTATTTGTGAAACTGTTGAAGCAATGGGTGCAAAATCTGATAATACAATGCAAGAATGTATTAAGATACTAAATGAGATGTCTGCAATACCTAAAGGAAGTGAGCTTTATCTGTTTGCTTGCAGATTATTTTTGAATAGGGAACAACGAGATTTATTCATTGCTCTTGGGGAATCAGAACTACGGTTCTTGTGGCTTCAAGATGAAAAGGCGCAGCATGATATGACTTTTAATAAGATATATTCTTTGTAGATTTGGAATAGTATGGATTCTCTGGGAAATTTCTTTTTTGTTGTCTTCTATTTTATTTTTATTTTTATTTTTTGGTACTGTCAATTATTTTTATTTTTATTTTTTTGGTACTGTCAAGTTTATGCATTTTGGTGAGTATCTTGAATATATTTCAAAGTCATAGTTCATTTGAATCATTTACGCCTATGTTTGCAATTCAAAGAATTAGATATAGTACCTATGTTGATTATTTATTTGTTTTGACTGAAGTAGTTGTTCATCTCTCACATTTTGTTCCAATAATTGTTTACCATGAATTTTTCTGATATTGGTTTTGTATTATAGGATCATGGACAACGACGAGGATAATGACTACAATGAATTAAAAGATGTTGCGACAGTGGGATTAGTTAGTGTTATGGTTGGTAGAATGATTTCTTATTATGCGAATCATATAGTGAAGAGCCATGTAGGGATTCAATGTATCGTGGCCATAGATTTGTTATGGATATTTTAAATGGTCATCATATACGGTGCCATGAATTGTTTAGAATGGAAAAACATGTATTTTGGAGGCTCTCGTTAGAGCTTCGAGGAAGGAATTTACTTAGAGATAGCAGAGAGGTCACCGTTGAAGAACAATTGGCTATCTTTTTAATGACTATCGGCCACAACGAAAGAAATCGAATGCTACAGGAGCGCTTTCAACATTCAGGAGAAACCATAAGTTGCCATTTCAATATAGTGTTGCGAGCCCTTTTAAAATTTTCTATGGAAATGATTGTTCCACCATCACTTGATGAAGTACCAAGGTACTTACACAACAATCCTAAATATTGGCCTCACTTCAAGGTAATCCTTATTAATGTATAATGAATTATTTTACTGTTAAATGAGTTATTGATTTTTACTTTCTTAGTTCTCTAATTTTTTGATTATTAAGTAGGGGTGCATAGGTGCAATTGATGGAACACATGTGGATGCAGTCATACCAACTGATGAACAACTTGCTTATCGAGGGAGAAAGGGTGAATGCACCCAAAATGTAATGGCAGCATGCTCGTTTGACATGAGATTCACTTTTGTTTGGGCAGGATGGGAAGGATCTGCTCATGATTCTCGTATATTCAATGAAGCTATCAATAGGCCAAATTTGAAGTTTCCAATGCCTCCAAGAGGTTAGTACACTCTACTTCTCCTTTATCTTTTTATCTATCCCTCCTTATATGACAAATATCCATTAATAGGCAAATACTATGTTGTCAATGCTGGATATCCCAATACGATTGGGTTTTTGGCTCCTTACAAAGGCACACGGTATCATTCAAGTCATTTTCGAAGAGGGCAACGTGCAAGTGGACCAAAAGAATTGTTTAACTACTCTCATTCATCACTAAGAAATGTAATTGAACGTTGCTTTGGAGTATGGAAGTCTCGATGGCCAATTCTTAAAAAAATGGCCAAGTTTCCTTTCGAAACTCAAAGACTAATTGTCGTTGCTTCGATGGCATTGCATAATTATATAAGACAAGAGGCGATAGAAGATGAAGAATTTAAACGTTATGATGAAGATGAAGATTATGTTAGCGAGGATGAAGAAGTGGACATAGACTCGGAGGATCATTATGGTGAAATTAATGGGCTGGTGAATAATCAACCGAATCAGGAAATGAGCATTCTACGTGATGCGATAGCCGACTCTGTGTACCGTGCTACATGATGTTAACTATCTTTTATGTCTATACTTTTGACTTTTTGATTTTTTTTAATACATTATTGGTTTGAAGATGAACTTTTAAGACATTAATTATAATTCTTCCAATATTTGTTACATAACTAATTTTTATTTGGTGTATTATTTTAGTGTCATTTTAAAGCATGTTCGTGTTATATGACCTTACAAGGGGAGAACAGTTTAATATATTTTACATGATTTTGTTTCTTTTAAATCATGAATCATATAACATTATATGATTAAATAATTAAAAAAAATTGAATATCATTTTGATAAAGGTAAAAAAAGATGAAAAACTTTAATTATCAACATATTTAAATGGTTCATAGATAATATGTAGTAGGTAGAAAATTTTTACATGTAAACAATTTTATTATTTAAGTAACTAAAGCACTTATTTAAAAATGAGTTCACCAAACATATGTGAAAGTTGTCTAAGGACTTTTGCAAATGCACTTAATGAAAAGTCCATTTTTAAGATGGACTTTTGTAGAATAAGTGCTCCCAAACAAAGCCTTATTATCATTACTAGTGGTGGAGAATTGAAATAATCGAAAGTGTTACTGGGTATTTTCAGCTATATATACCAATCCTTAGATCAGTCGGATTTCAGTTATTAAACAATAAACGCATTTGACACCTGCATATATTACTAATACTACACCTGTGAGTGGCACAAACAAACAAGTCTTTCAAAAAATTGTATATATGCCCCGGTTCATGTTCTTTTCTATATTATGCAGTCGTCACATTGGGGCTGCATTAGTGCTGCAAATGAACCGAACGAAAGCTCGCTCGTTTAATGATCGAGTCAAGCTTGAACATGTAACTCAACTCGTTTATTATTCGAACGAACATGAACACGTTCGCGAACGTAAGGGAGTGTTCACGAACAAGATTTGTAGTAATAATAATAATAATAATAATAATAATAATAATAATAATAATAATAATAATAATAATAATAATAATAATAATAATAATAAGCATTTCTTAAGTTTTTATAATCAAACTATTCGAACAATTCAAGCTCATGGAACATTTGAAAAGTTCAAATAATTTCGATTAGCTAAACTAGCCAAACACGAACTTAACGAATGAAAACGAACATAAACTTAAGCTCGGCTAGTAAAGGAATGAACTTGAACAAGCTGGAATATTAGTCGATCTCGAGCTCGAACAACCCAAGATCTGTTCAGTTCGTGCAGCATTAGGCTGCACCACGGGAGCTGGTTCGGGCTGAAAGCGGAGTTAGATTTAAAAAAAAAAAATCGGATATATTAAAAAATTATAAATAACGTGTTTTTATTAGTGTAATATTAAGTCCGAATATGAGATTTGGAGTGAGATTTTGTATATGATTTTTCTTTCAAAATTTAACAGATATTAAAAAGTCTTAACAAATTCCAGTCTTTAATAAGTTTAGTAACTCGGGAGTTTATAAGACTTTTTAAATTCTCAAATGATCAGTACCTCAATACTTTGAAAATCTTAAAAAGTTTTAATTAAATATACCACGATTCTAAAGTTTTAAAAAGTCTTTAGAAATCTCAAACACACCCCTTAAGAATTTTAAATTGAAAAGGGTATAACATTATTATTCAATTTTTATGATCATGTTAAATATTTTTTTAAGTAAAATTGTAAAAGGATTTGTGTAAAGCCACGGCCCACAGCCCCATCACGGTTCGTTTGCAATATCCAAACAATGTTGTTAAGCGTCAAATGCAAATCCTCGATCCCTGTCGAAAGATCGACAAACTAATCCGTGAAACGCACGTCCAACTCTTGAAATCGGTAGTCAATCTGTTGAAACCGATCGTTGAAGGTTGCATCACGTTGTTTGCAGTGTTCTGAAAGTCGCTAGGCGCCCGTTAGGCATTCGACCAACGCCTAGCGCCTAGGCCTAGAGCGACTAGGCGGCGCCTAGTCGGGCCTAGAAATAAATATAAAATATCTTATTTTTTATTTAATTTAGTTACCTACAAAATAAAATTATCTTAACTTATAGTAAATCGACACACCTAAATCCAAATAATTAAATTAATATGTCATAAAGAAATATGAAAACAAAATAATATAATTAATATTTAAAAAAGAAAAAAAAATAAAAAAAAAAACTGAAAAATTGCCGCCGAGCCCGCCTAGTAGCGCCTAGGTCCGCCCATGCCCGCCTAGGCGCCGCCTAACGCCTGGCCGCCGAGCCCGCCAAGGCCGCCTAGAAGCGCCTAGAGCTGCCTAGGCCCGCCTAGGCGCCGCCTAGCCGCCTGGCCGATTTTTTTCTGCCGATTTGTGCAAATCGGAGGCGCCCGGGCACCGCCTAGACTTTTAGAACAGTGGTTGTTTGTTTGCGGCATCTTGTCGTCCCCGCAACATCGCGAATCGTACTGACTGCTGATACCAACTGATATAGAGAACCGTACGAGTGGGAAAGATAAACGAGTAAACTAGATACTCTCTCGTAAAACACACAATCACTTCATATTTTTATTAATAATCAATTGATTAAAACAATATATGATGAGCCTTTTATATAAGACTCCAAAACTCTATTTCTAACTTGTACAGCAAAACAAGATCTCTAATAATATTTAATTCCTAACTTATTCACCAAGATACTTAAAAATAATAATAATAATAATATAATAATAATAATAATAATAATAATAATAATAATAATAATAATAATAATAATAATAATAATAATAATAATAATAATCCTAATAAATAAGGCCTTTTCCGCATCACTATTCAAAGTAAAATATTTTATTTTTCCTAGAAAAAGAACAAGTATTTGAATCAAACCAGCTCTTTAACATAAATAATCATAAGATCTATTAGAAGTTCCGCTCCCATTCTACATGGAAGGAAAATACTTTTAAAAGAAAAAATCTTAAAACATTTAAATAATTAAAAAAAGAAAAAAAATGGATTACCATATATATGGATTATAAATAGTCTTGTTTATAATTTTTTTTAACTCCAATTGTTAAATCTGCCACTTATGTTAATAAAATAAGCAGATAAGACCTACGTACATTTTTGAAACTAGGCTTGAGCACTCGAGTCAAAGCTCGGCTTGAGCTCGAGTTTGACGAACTCGAGTCGAGCTCGAGCCCATATTGTGCATTGTCGAGCGGCTCGTTGAGCGGCCCGATATATATATATTAAATTACTAAAATATCACTATATATATAAATAGTATAACACAAGTGCTTAATGGTAATTTCACTTAAAATTTTTCGAGCCAAACTTGAGCTATTGTATTTTCTTATCGAGTCGAACTTGAGCCTCATAAATCGAGCTCGAGCTAGAGCAGCTAGAAAAAATTCCAATCTTGCTCGGTAAGGTTAATGCTCAACTCGACTCGACTTGTTTGCAATCCTACCTGAAATTTTAAAATAATAAAAAACAAAACAAGGTGATAAGGATAAAAAAAATGAAATAACCAAATAAATTATTCTCCATACAATACAAAGTGGAAGCAAAAATTCAAAGTCAAGAATCTTTTTTTTTTTTTCAAAGGCAAAGTCAAGAATCAATTCCCAAAGTTTTAGGGTTTTGTAACATGAAAGAGCCGTTTAAATAATAATAATAATAATAATATAATAATAATAATAATAGTAATACTAAATTGATTTTTACTATGTTGAAAAAGCTGTCAATTTATTATCGAGACTCGTATGAGAATTTTAATTAAATAGATAAAATATGATATAATATTTTTTTGCTTCGGAGGAGAGGATTAAGGCCGTGAATAATGGCAGTTACGCCGGAACAACGCAATTATCAAGGGATTTTTCGTGCTGGACGGTACTTCTTTCCACTACAATTTTTTTTTTCAATTAAAAAAAACAAGTGATAATTTAGGACAAATAAAATACAAATAAGTATATTTGTTATTCTCTCCTAATCAATGCTGGTCAGGAGGACAACATCCAACATAATTAATCCCAGACACCCTCTTAAGTTTTCATAAGTGAAGCTATTTGCATAATTAAATCCCGGACACTATCTTAAGTTCTCCTATGTATTTATGTCACTTATTATACAAATTAAAATATTTTTCATGTGTTGTTTATATAATGATACATATTTATATTTTTTATTTATTTGCAGCATTGATGTTACTTAAGATTAATAAACAACCTTTGATAAAATTTAATACACACCATTCAAGAATAACATATAATATTTTAGATACTTTTAAACAAGTTAATTAAATTGTATTAAAATATTTTTCTATATACAAATTTATGTGACTTTACATGATTATATATTTAAAGGCTAGGAATTTACTTAAAAGAGTAAGGTGAACAATATTTTTTTTAGTTTTTTTAATTCTATTTTTTTTTTTAAAAAAAGTTTTTAGCGAGAGTTAGGGAAAAAAATATTCTTACATATCACATCAACTTTAATTTACTATTCATTAACTTACATAATTTTCACGAAAAAATTACACTATTAGTCCATTAACTAGTTGCACTTTCGTCCTTTAATTGCTTTCGGTTTACTTTTGGTTCACTAACATATATTTTTTTTGGCAATTATATTGCAAATCGACATTCCGGTGCTCATATTGCTGGAAAAGCTGACGTGGGGCCAGTCGGATCTCATTTTTTATTCTCGGTGATGTGGCACGAGATAGGCCCAAGTGTTTGGTTTTGTATAGGATGCAATTTCCTCAAACTTGAAAGTATAGTTAATTGTTTATGGATATGGAAAGAAAATTTAGAGATTTTTTTTTTTTTTTTT